TTACCTCCTCGTTGCCTATTTGGATACCTTTTATTCCCTTCTCTTGTCTTATTGCTATTGCTAAGACTTCCAAAACAATATTGAATAAAAGCGGTGATAGTGGGCATCCTTGCCTAGTTCCTGTTCTTAAAGGGAATGCCTTTAACCTCTCTCCATTAAGAACAATGTTGGCTCTTGGGTTTTTAGCGTGGACATCTATTTCTCTTGATGAAGGAGTGGAATTTATGTCCTGTTTATTTTTTTAATATAAATTACCTTTTTTTTTTATAAATTACTTTTTACGAACCATTTTAGATTCAGAGAAAAATTGCAAAGATCGTATTGACAGTTGACATTTATTTTCTGACCAAGTTTTCCTGTTACTTGTTACTATCTTGCTCTAGTGTGTGAAATACTTTGTTGCAATAAAGAAACAAACCAATCTCAATATATTGTTATTAACTGCAAGCTATAGTTTATTCATAATTCTATAGTTTTTAATGTCATCACCCAGGATCCCAATTAGAACTTCACTTTACATTCATCCTTGGCAATGACAATTTCTCAGATTCTCTCTTTTTTTAAAGCTTTGGCAGTTTTAGGTAGCTCTGGTTAGCTATTTTGCAAAATGTCTACTCTGGTAGTTTCCTAATGTTTTTTGTTATGGTTAGACTGGAGTTACACCCTATCCCACACCACCCCCCCCAATGATGCGTGCAGTCGACATGACATATCGCTGATACCACTACCCTGATTACCTAGCTGAGGGAGAATTTGTCAGTTGCTCCAAGGTGAAGTTATGCTCCTTCTCATTCTCATACTGGACTCTTTGGAAGGCAGTCGTTATACATAGTACATACTTACAGGGTGGGGAGTTGTGCTTCTGCCTTCTTGAGAGCAAATATCTACTATATAATTTAGAATACTCTCCAAGGGAGGTTTCTTTCTTCTTTCCCATTCACTTATTCAACCATTTACATGTATAATGCTGGCCTTATAGATATTTATTTTCTACTTTGAGCTATAATCCTGTATAACGGAGCTCTGTGCTCGCTTCGGCAGCGTATATACTAATATTGGAACAATACAGAAAAGATTAGCTTGGCCCCTGCGCAAGGATGACATGCAAATTCATGAAGCGTTCATATTTTTATTGTGTAGAATCACAAGACCTCAGGGAGGGCCTTTGTTTTTAAAAGTTGGTTGTTATTTTGGAGGAACATTCTTCTAAGTGGTACAGCACTCTCTGTCACTATGCTGTGCTGAGATAACCTGGGGTTGCTGTGATGCTGAACCTTGTGCCATTGGGGTGTCATATGCCACAACGGTTGTGTTTGGTGGAGCTCCCAATTTAAGACAGGTTTGGAAGCAGGACTGGCATCCACTTCCTAAATAACATGCCTCTGGAAACTCTATGAACTTTGAGAAACGAGAGTTATAGAAAGACTTTAGGCCTTTTGTTCATAGGGTCCTTATGAGTTGTGCTTGACAGCAATCAACAACAATAACAACTGGTGGCCTAGTGGTAAGAAGCTGTGCTGCAATCCTCAAGGGACATAGTTCAAATCCACCATCTGTTCTGTGGGAGAAGAGTGGGCAACCTCATCCCATGCAATTAAGTGCCCCTGAAAACCCACTGGAGGATCAGCTACTAGTCTTTTCCGACCCAATGGCACACAACAGCAATACCAGAGACTAACACTGATCCTGCCAATGCATTTTATAATCCAGTATATTTTCTTTGTTATGTTGTTGAAATTTTTCTAGCTTTGGGCACCACTGGATTCATTTGGCCTATGTCTCTGTTTAAAATAACCTCATCAATGCAGGTGTGTGTTTTATTTTTAAGCATTGTTTTAGCTTCCTGACACTATGATTGTTCTCAGCTCATTTTGGACATTTCCCTCTCAGTCCTGGAATCAGCTTGATCTCCAAGATCTCTGGTTCCTTTCATTGGAGAATGTATCAGAATCCAGCCAAGATCAATCTAGGTGATAGGTGTACTTTATACATTCATGTTAACTTCTTTGAACAACCTCACTTGAGGGCTTCATGTACTTTATCTTTTCCTTTTTCTAAGAAACAAACAATGTCCTAGTTAAAAGTAAGGGCTAAAATGGCAAAGAATGTCTACTTTGAGAATTGTACTCTTTGAAGAGTACAACCTGACTACAGCAGCTTGAAAGATTGAAAACTTAAGAGGCAGTGAGCTATGTTAATGAGGGAGGAGCAATTTGAAAAAGCAAAGTGAGAATGATTGCACGACTTGAAAAGTGTCACCAATGTCGTTGAATGGTTCTTGTAGAAATTGTTGCATTGATATACTTTCTATATACATTCTTAACAAGGGCAACAAAAAGAAAATATTTTTTAAAAATCAGACTGCTGGATGTATATTATAACTTATGTCCTATGTGACTTTAGCTCTCTGTGCTGCAGCTTTCCTGTGTATGAAATGGAAATAATAACAGTGCCTATCATATTGGGTTGTTATAAGGATTAGCAGACATAATGCATGTTTAATTGTTAAAATTGTTTAATGAACAATTGTTAATGATGGCTGACCACCTTTGAGTCATGGCAGTCTTAAGTACAATAGAATTAGACATTGCTTGGTCCTGCCTGAGTTTCCCAACCACAGGCATGCCTGTGTCCATCATGTGGCTGTTGTGCCAGTTCATCTCACCAAGGACCCTCTACTCTACCAAACTTGATATCTTTCTCCAGAAATTAATCCCTCCTGAGGACTTGCCAAAGCACGTGGATCTGGAAGTGCTCATTTGTAATCCATAAAGTTTTCATGGACAATTGTTGGAAGGAGGAGTGGCATTCATTTCCATAATAGCTTGCCTCCAGAAACCCTATGAACCTGGAGAGAGGATGAAAGGCACCCAACCGACTCTCCTTCATAGGGTCACTATGAGTTGCCTGTGACTCAACGGCACTTAACAACAACAACGTTTTCACAATTGTCGACTGCCTCTGAGTCGAGCACGACTCATAGCAACCCTATGAACAAAAGGCCGGAAGCCCCTCCACAACTATTGACATTTAACAAAGTTCATAGAGTTTCCAGAGGCATGTTATTTAGGAAATGAATGCCACTTCTGCTTACAAGCTTTTCAAAGTATGTTATTGTTGTTATTGGCCATTGAGTCGCCTACGATGTGTAGTGGCTCTATGTGCATCAGCTCTGAACACCTTCCTTGTCCTGAGCCAATCTCACCAACTCTGACACACCAACTCCCATTGCCCCAGTTTGTGTCAATCCATCTCATCCAGGGTCTCCCTCTCCTGCACTCACTGTCCATCCACCCTTATTATCATGATGTCCTTCTCCAAGGACCCATCTCTCCTGGCCATGTACCCAAAGTAAGTGGAGTGGAGCTTCAGAATCCTAGCCTCCAAGGAGAAACTTGGTTTTATCCTCTCCAAGACGGACCTATTTATTTTTTTGGCAGCTCATGGTATGTTCAAGACTTATCTTCAGCACCACAACTTGAAGGCATCTATTCTTCTGTCATCCTTAGTCATTGTTCAACTCTTTGAAGCATAACAAATAATTGAGAGGACCATGGCCTGGATTAGGTACACCTTTGTATCTAGACTGATATCGTTGCTCTTCAGCACTCTGGAGAGGTCCATGACAGCAGATTTCCCCAATGCAATTTGGAGGACTGTAGCCTTTAATATGAATTAAAGCTCAACACCAAGAGGACAAAGATTCTCACTGCTGGACCAATTGGCAGCACCATAGTAGATGGAGAAGAGATTGAGGTTGTTAGCAATTAGGCTTGCTCGGATCCACAATTAATACTCTTAACACCAGCAGTCAGGAAATCAAAAGATGAATTATTTTCATAGAACAATGTTCATTAGGTCACTATAAGTCATAATCAACAGCACTTGACATCAATCATAAGTGAATTTAACAGCAATATTGGATCTGCAAGGCCTGCCTCCCTAGTCTGTCTTACTCTGAAAGTTCCACTGAAATCCTGTTTTGAAATGCTGTTTGAAATAGCTGTGGCATAACTTTCAGCATCACAGCAACATGCATCCTACAAACTGACAGATGAATCATGATCATGGTACCTAGCACCTGATAAATGTCCAAATCTTGCTGGTTGTTGTAGTAATTGTTTATTTGATGAGAAAAGGACATATACTCTCTCAGTTCTTCAAATTAAATGACTTTTTTAATTAAATTAAAAGACGGCTATCAAATGAGAGTTCACATAGGGCTTTTTGCTTTTGTGGCACCCAGCCAACTCTGTTAGGACTTTTCCCCACCATGTGAGCATTTGATGACTGCCTGGTATCTGGTGGTGCTTCATGTGAACTATTAATGCTGAGGCTTGAGTTTAGGATTCAGAAATGCCTATGTGGAATGGATAGCTTTTCAAAATGACTAGAATTACCAGAATATGTAATTTTAAGATGTAAAATAGTTTAGGAATAGGATGCTATAGAATTTATTTTTTTCCCCTTCAGGATTAGGAATGAAATATTGTTCGGCTGTTAAATTAACCTGACACTTTTAAAATTTTCCTTTCTTCTTAGTGGCCTCATTGGACGAAGCTGGGCCATGTTATTTGCCAGTGGAGGCTTCAAGGTGAAACTCTATGATATTGAGAAACAGCAGATAACAAATGCCTTAGAAAACATCAGGTAAGCCATCTGACACCTTGTAAGAGCCTGTGATGTGATTATTCTTCTCTCACTTGGGCTTGTTTATCATATTCTTTGCAATTTCACACATTCCCTCGATGGAAATACCAGTGCTTCTGAGCTGGGAAGCTGAGGTAGTTGGGCTCTGAATGCACACTGGATGAAGAAGGGATTCACTCTGTTGGAGAAAACTCTTATAATTGTGGCTGATTTAATGGAAGAAGAGAAACAGCCCAAATTTTAGGTTCTTATTTGTAGCTGTAGTACTTTTATTTTCACACCTGTATAATATTTTATCACATGAATTTGCTATAATTTATTTATGTACTCACCTCTTGATGAACTTTACAACTCTATTCAGTTTGAGGCTATTTGAAACAACATTAACGTTAATATTCTTACATATATTTCCTAATTAATAAATGTAAGGGTTTCTATAAGCTACAAATACAAGAGTGAGGTTTCTGGGTCTATGTTCCTCATAAAGATCGGATCAGATGTATATTGGACATCTTTTGTACCCTTCATATCTTTTAGCTTCTCATTTTTTTCTTCTTCATTTTCCCATAGCTTTTGAATGTATCCAGCTCTTCATTCCAGTTCACAAATTCTGTTTCTAGCATCATCTCTTTTACTATTTAAGGAGCTCTGGTGGTGTAATGTGCTATGTGCTGGACAACTGAAACATCAGAGCTTCAAATTCCCCCACTTCTCCATGGGAAAAAAGATGTACAGTCTCCTGTCATTAAGATGTACTGCCCAAGAAACATAATGGAATGCCATATTATTGGAATTGACAACAGTGGATTTTTTCCATTTATTCAGCTATATAAACCTTTCAGACTTTGTTTCAATAGTTTTGCCTTCTATTTTAAAAGTTCTTTGAATTCTTTTCCATCTGTATATTCCTGTTCATTTTTTCCATAATCCTTCTCTTTTCTTGCTATCTGTGGTTCCATCTTTCAGTTCTTTGAGTGTTTAGCTCATAAACATCTTGTTTATGTTCTATGTATGATAATTATAGTATCTGAGGTTGTCTTAGATTTGTCTTCTCGGAATCAGATTCTTTCATGATTCATGGGCAAGTGAGTTATTAAGGAGGTACTGTTGGGAGAGACTAATGAGAGAGACAGGATAAAGGAGAAGAGGAAGCCAACTATGAGTATGGTTTCAAAAGGGCTCGACAAGGTTCCATGGACATGTGGAGCATTAAGTCACTGCAAAGTTTGTCATCCCTCAAAGCAAGGGAGGGGCACTTTCTAGTTCCAAAACCAGCTGTTGTCTTAGGTCTTCCCGAGTGGATATAAACACTCCACCCCCACCCCATCCAGTACTTTATGTTCTCTGAAGAATGATGCAGGGACATGCTTCAGGGACAAAAGCTTGGGACCTAGGAGGTGGGCACACAGTACTGTAAGAGCGATCCAAGGGGACCAATGGCCCCTACTTCAGAAATCCTTGGGGCTTCAAGTAAATTTATTTTTTTTCTGACACGTTGATCTAGATTTTCATTAATTTTAAAAAATTTGTTGGACATATTTTAGGCACTAGGATTTTAGTGACCCAAGTAGACTAAGACTTCAAGGAGTTCACATTCAGTAGGGAAAGAGGACAAGAAAAAGCAATAATTTTTAAAAAATCAGTAAAATATATGATATGTTCACTTAATCAAATGCCACCAGTGACCTGTTTTGTGTGGCCCACCAACTCAGGTAACTGGTTCAACCACTCATACTAATTTTGTTTTATCATGTTAATTACAGTACCCTTGATGAACTCCCTCTGATTCATTTTTATTAATCCTTCTACCCTGCTTCTTCTTGCCTTCTTTCTTTTATCTCTGAGCAAATGTTCTCCTTTTGATTTTACGTGGTTATTCTGTATGGAATGCTGTTGTATCGACAATTTCAAAAGAGTGGACACAGATCTTTCTCAGAGGTAGTGATCTTTTTAAATAACTTTTATATGTTTAAAGCAGGGGTCTCTGGTGGCCTGCACTGCAATCCCAAAGGCACAGGGTTTGAGGCTACCAGCTGCTCCAGGAAGAAGGATGGGAAATCTCTTCCCATTTAAATAACTGCATCTGAAAACCCACCAGAAGGTCTGCTATGAGTCAGTTCCGACTTGATGGTTCACTACCACCACCACCACCACCACAACATGCTTAAAGTGAGTTAATGTAAACATACATAATTGGGGGTATGACTCTTTTTTAGCAAATTGTGGCTGACAACTTCAGGAAAATCGGGCTGAACTATGCCCCTTTTCTCCCTCTTGTTACGTTCCATTGAGTTGACTGTACCTCCGAGGGAGTCCATGTTTGACAGAACCAAACTCGGCCTGATTCTGTGCCATCTTCACAATCTGCTGAGTTGAAATCCATTGTTGCAGTCGTGGTACCATTGAGAATCTTTTCTTTTGTGCTGACCCTCTGTTTTTCTGAGTGTGATGTCCTCTGGAGACTGATCCCTGCTCTTGACATGAGGATGGCTTGTTTCACCAGCCTCACCTTTAAGAAACAGCCTGGCTGAGCTTCAATGACATAGACTAATAAGATTTGTTCTGAATTTGGATCAAGAGTGAACAGAATGAAACTGCCTGATATTGCAATCATCCTCACATTCAAGCCATGCCTGAGCTCATGTGAGGGTTTTACTCTTCTTAGTTGACCTTCAGCTTTTCTTAGCATGATGTCTTTATTCTGGGCCTTACCTCTTCTGATAGCATCATGTAAGTAGCTGTGCATCAGAGAGATGGACAATGACTGGAAGAAGAATCAATGCCTTTGAGTTGTGGTTCTGGAGAAGAGTATCAAACATACTATGGGCTAATATGAGAACAAACAGGTCTGTCTGGGAGAGGGTGAAACCAGGTTGCTCTTTGGAGGCAAGGATTTTGAAGCTCTCACTGACACACTTTTGGAATGAGGTGGATTGACACAGTGACAGGGACAGGTGTGTTGGAGACAGTGAGATTGGCTCAGGATAGGGCAGAGTACAGAGCTAGTGTGCATAGAGTTGCTATGAGTCATAGTCGAATCAGTGGTACTTAACTAACAAGATGTATGTGAAATAAAGTCTCACCGCTTTGCTTCTAAGGAATATGCTGATTGGACTTCCAGAACAAATATGTTCATTCTTTTTTGAGTTTTAGAACTCTTAGCTGACCTTCCTGTGGGCTTTCAGAGGCTGTAAATCAACATGAAGAGCCTATGCCAAAAAGGGCTTTGGCAGGGAACATGACAAGTAGAATCCAACCATGGAGCAGCTGGTAGATATGAACCATTCACTTTTGGGTTAGCAGAGCAGCATCCTGCCCACACTTTCGACTTTCTTTGGCAGCACCACAATTCAAAGGCATCAGTTCTTTACTCTTTGGCCATTCCTCCAGCTTGGGGTCCACTGTGTGCCTCAGGGCATTATCTGGGTCATATTTAAAAGCCACCTCTGTGGTTGGGTTCCACTTGGCATGTTCCTTGCCAAAGCCCTTTTTGGCATAGACTCATAGTCTCAGCTCCTGCCCCTTTCTGAGTTTGACAATAAAGATGTCATCCTGATGTCATTGTCTTGATTCTGGGATGTGATTGGAATGACCTACGGACTGTTGGAAATAAGGTCTCGGGATATGATGTGCCATGTCTGATCATCATAGCACCGCACGTCAAGGGTGAACTCAACCTAGCACTCAGGGCAGAACTCTTCACATATGTAGTCCTGAGAGTACTGTAGCTTGTCCACAGTGTCATCACAAATAAGAGGAATGAATCCAAGTCTGTGAGCAATGAACCCATCGTGAAGAACTGAGGAGTTGGCATCAGTCTGCACCCATTCAATGGCTATTATGGGCACTTCAGCGATGAAGACCCTCTGGATAGAATTGGACACCGCTAGGTCTGTGTTCTCTATGATGAATTGACATTCTCGACCGTAAGCTCTGTGATGCACACCATAGGTTGGTTGGCATACAGCATTTCACAGCTCAACCAGCCTGACCTCCACTGTTAGCTTTGCTCTGTTTTTTAAGACTATAGTCTAAGCTTTATCAATAGGTGCTTTTCTGCAAGTAAGGTTATGTTATCTGCATTATTGTTGTTGTTGTTGTTATGTGCTGTTGAGTCGTTTGCGACTCATAGCGATCCTATGTACAACAGCCCTAAACCCTGCTCTATCCTGTGCCAATTGCATTGCCTCTGACAC